AAAAGAGAGAAAGGCAGGAAAGATCTCAAAATAAAAACTGCTACCAAACCAACCATATCGACTTTTTTTCTTCTTGCCTACTGAAAACAGGCTTTAGTCAAGTTAATAATTATTTACGGTAAACAAAAAACAGGTTGAACATTTCTGAATGAGGTGAATTAAATTTAAGCTTATCAGTTTTATGCCAAATATTCTAATACTCTTCTACCGCTTATACAATGCAACTGTCTGCAAAGGATTAAGGGAGTCTTTAATGCCTCTTTTCAAGGTGTAAAAGTTCTTCAACATTTTAACACATATTAAACGCATATATTTACATGTATATGAAGCTGATTTTCAAAACTGCATCGATTACGCATGAAACATACCTGGTTGAGGACGACCATTCTTGTTGAATTTTATAAGTCTAAGCAATTTATTATATGTTATTAGCAATTACAATCTATATCATTGGGCCAAAAGAGGTTTCAGTTGCTAATATAATGTAACATAAATTCTAAATGCAGTGTTATGTTCTGTAATACTGGTAAATAAAATATCTGGATGAAGCAAAATTAATGCTTGAATATATCAAAGTAAAAATGACAATCTAACCCAATATAAGAATCACGTACTAAAGTGCATGACATTGATCGTAATAATTTACTGTGTGACTTTTGATAAACATTTGTTTGAAATTCTATTAACATCTTCAGTTACAGACATCGTTCGATCAGTGAATGATGGTTAATTTTAAAATGCTCCCGACTTTTAAAACTTTAGCTTTTATTAATTGGCTTATATTTCCTTTCACAGAGAATTTTCTAAAGAAAGAGAGAAAGCTAAAGCTCGAGGAGATTTCCACAAGCTTAGGGAAAAACAACAAATAGAAGAAGATTTACGGGGTTATCTTGACTGGATAACTCAAGGAGGTGCGTATCAAACTAGTGTCAAACTAAAACAATAAACAAATAAAAGTTTTCTGTTTAATAAGTCTGAACAGAAGAAAAAAAAAGACATTTTTAAGTTTTTTTTTTTTCATTTTCTGTTACATTTGTTTTATACTTATTTTATATTTATATATCACTTTTCTTATTTTATTTATTTGTTCTGAAGGAGCTTAAGCTGTCATAAGTTGTTAACAGTACAGATGATTTATTATCCTTCAGAATTCTTTTCAAGCTTTGCTTGGTATACTGCGATAATTCCATTTAATGAAGCCTAGTGCGCAAAAAATTAGACACTTTTTCTTTTATCATTTAAGTACATCACTACATATTGAAATTATTATCAGTTCTTAACGGAAGCGATTCAAAAGTATTATTTAAATAACCTGGGCGAGTTTCTATCCGATCAGTTCGTCTTGCAGTTTAATGAGATATGTAGGATTCTTGACTGAATTTAAGTTTGAAGATTCAGTTAATCATTTTCATGTGTTCTAAGTATGTATCATATTCTTTACACCAGTCTGTAATGGTTTTAACATCATGAGTTCCTTTTTGTATTTTTAAACTGAATTAGATTTTAAGCAGAATTTTCAAATATTATACAGATGAAATCAATAGATTATCTAAAGCAATGTAAAGCTCTCTAAATCAGTAGATTCTCAAACTGGCAGCCCGAAGCAGTTTTACACGCTCCCCGAATATATTTCAATTATGAATTGTTGTAAATACGGTGCTTGAAGTTTTAAAGAGGTATGGTACTGAGATGATGATGTGATGATAATGTCTGACTCTGAGCTTATGCGCGCAATTGCTGTTGAATGGGAAAAAGAACGAATAAACTGGGCTTTCTCTTTGTCACTATAGGCTTGTACGCCAGAATACGTAGCTGGGGTAAGATGGAAGATCGTCCTGTGTAGGTATAATCAGTAAATTTAGTTGGCCGGTCGACAGCTGATGGTGCGTCAGTTCTCTATATTTCTTGTTTTTTGTATAGAATTGGTACTCATGGTGTGTAACTTTTGTTCAATAAATCACTAGTTGGTTGTTTGGTTGCAAGCTGCGTTCATATTACTATACAGATAGAGACACACTAATGTAAGGCTTATAAATCCTGTTAATTGCCGTTTTTTTATTAGATATACCTAATATCAATATTTATATTTGAAATTATGCATAACTTTTGAATGTTACTTTTAAATTAATTAAAAATAAGAGCAACAGAAATCTCTTGCCAGTGCAAAGCTATATATTCCCGATAGAAAGTAAATATAAATTTGGATTTTTGCTGTGTATTATTGCAATTATTATTGTTTATGTATTCTTTAAGTAAGTGAACTTTAAAATTTAGTTGAAAATGTTTTCGCATGCATTTTGAGTTTGAGACCACTTCTCAAAAGTTTAGTTTATCTGTATCTATGTTTATGCATCATTTTATTCACTTCCAAAGTAGACGTAATTCACATCAATTAAAATTATACCATAGCACTGTAGACCAGTCTCTAGGATTTCCTTTAATACCTTCCGTTGGAATTTTTTTTTCAGACTATTCTAATGAAGCATTAAAGCTGTGCAGAAAATGCCTAGGAAATGTGCATGTAAAAGCTTTGTTGAGGTTCTGGTGTCCCACCCTTTTCTTCCAGTCCTATCAGCAGCTAGCAAACACAAACCATGTAGCGCGCAAATGCCAGAAACAGTCTTTGTATCAAGATTCGAAAATCTCAGCTTAAATGCGCAGATCTAATTTGCATTCTGGTGAGGAATATGGAAAGGAGAAGTTATAATAAAGACCAAAATCATAATAACAGGTCAATTTAAAATAATTACGTTACGAAACTTCCTACGTATTTTCTCCTGTTAGATGTATTTCGGTCTTTAAGCTCCATTATTAACGTAAAGGAATTAACCTTTTGGTAATTTTTTTTGAACAAACGACAATTGACGTTTGCGTCGGCAGTTAAGATTTAACAAAATGATTACTTCAACCGTTTATGTTTCATTCAACCGTTTATTTATATTTATAATTACTTCAACTGTTAACTTTAAGTTTATTTTTAGATGAATTTGGTTTGAATTAACATTTATGCACTTGCAGAACTGCGCTTTGATCCTCATATGAAAATTCCGCCAACTTTTACTGTATCCTTTTGATTGGTTATAACCTAAACTCCTTTCTCTAGTCACTTGAGTTTCGACAGATTGACTTTAATTTTGAGTTTACACTTCAGATGTTGCACGCAGGAAGGAAGATCACATTTTCCCTATTATACAATAAAGCAGATGTTCTCAGCCGGGGGGGATTCACCTTAAAGGGGAATTTCATAGTTTCAGGTGCCGAATGAGGTCAGCCTTTTATTTACCTGTTAAATACTTAGTTTTACTTTCAAGGTTTGGTATTTATCAACATTTTCTATGCTACTTTTTGTTTAATTTATACAACACATTAAAAAAGTAATCTAAATATAAGCAAATGTGTATGTATTTTACGAGTTTGGGAACAAGGGGAAATGGGGAATGATCATCAGACAATGATGGAAAGGACACAAGGGGCGAAAAAAGGTTGAAAACCATCACAATCGAGGAATACCTGAAACTTAATTAAAACGTCGAATTTATATTAAATACTATATATAATGTTACTTACGTATTAAAACAAAGCACCTTGACGCAATCTGGCAATTTTTCACAGAAGAAAAGGTAGATGTTACCTATTGGGTGCAAGCAGAAAATTTTCATACTTTTTTTTAAATAACTTCCCCAACTATCGATATTTATCGTCAGTCGGCAAACATTGCCAACATATCAAAAGAAAAGACATTTTATCAATTTAGAACACAAATTTTAAGTATTAAATGATACATTAAAAAATAAAACATATTTTTTGCGAGACTTCTTCCGCAATTTTTTCTGCTGTTCTCCTCTTCTACACAGCGATTTTTTCGTTTGAAAAAACATCGATATTAAAACTGCTTTCGTTTTAAAATTCATCAAAGAATATCACAAACACGGCGTCACGCACAACCTTGGCTATCTACAAAATGCTTATCATAGCTCCTTTTAGTGACTTTGCCGCAAAATACTGCATTCTTACAGAAATTTTTCAAACTTTCTTCCACTGTAGGCAAAATTCCACAAGCGCATATTTTAAAATTGAGTTTAAATGGAAAAATATCTAGATTTGTTTATAAAAACCGAAGGATATTGGAATACAACATGAAGAACGCATACGAAAGTAGCGAAGTTGCTTGACCGGAAGATTCTATAAGCATAGCCACCACTGTTTGACACATTCTGAAAATTTGACGACTTTTGCTAAAATTGTTGCGATAATACTTAAGCACGCATATAAAAAAAGTATTTATTTTGTAATATAGTTATTTATACACATAGAAAATTTGGCATCACTATGCTTAAGACTCATATAAATATTTCATTGTAAAATAAATGTTTTGCTGAGAATTTTAGTTGTAATTGTGTGACTAATGAAACTTGATTTGTTTTGTTTTTAAATTTTACTAGCCAAATTTTAGTTGAAATGTAAAACATACGGAGCATTTTATGTTCATGTAAGTGATTTTTTAAACTTTAATGCAGAGATTTAACAATTTTAAGCTTCGAACCTCGTAATCTCATTTACATTTGTCACAGATATTATTCATCTCCCCAATCACTCTATAGTTTCGAGTATTTTATGATATATTTTCGTATGCATGCTTCCTTTTTGAAAGCAACATGCTATTTCAACAGATATTTAGATGTAATAAAATTGAGGATTTTGTTTTTTCGTTTCAGTAACAATTTTTCTATGTTTATTGAAAGAAGAAAGTTATTTTAGGAAACTGAAGACAAAATAACCTAAGGAACCGTCTAAAGAATTTTCAAAAATTTTCATAATTAATATCATGCATTCATATCAATACTTTCATGTAATATGCTGCCTAAAAATTTTAACATCACCTATATAGATCCCTAAAATCTATCATATTTCTTTTTTATTCCTTCCCATTCATTGTTACCAAATGATGCAGCATTGTTATTTTCACAAATATTATTTATATCTTTTAACAGAGGATATCGAGCAAGATGACAGAGAAAATACGGAGGACTCGAGGAACAGTACGTATAAGATTTTTACCTATCTCCTTAGATTAGAAAAGTATTACTCTTGTATACAGGAGATGTCAATGGTCGAACTTTGTATAACTTTTGGTATGACCCTCGTATCATTATAATTTTGTAAAAGAAGTTCAGAATTAGATTCTACAATTGATAATCAAAACTGTGCTTACTCCTTTTGGTCTAAAAATGTAGATATAACAAAGCAAACAAAGTAAAAATGAAAACTTGTAGCCGTCTTATTACTACGTCTTTGTGTACTATTTTGCTAAATTGAGATAAATTATTATTACAGGAAACCCTCCTTAACACAAACTGGCTTAAGAAGAAAACTCAATAAATATGAACGAAATTTTGCTCCGGGCAGTGATGTATATTATAAGAAGTTTTATCGTTTAACGCGAATGACGGTTATTGCTAATTACAAACTGTTTTTCAGTCCGTTGTGTGATTAGATTTTTTTCATTTAACACGAACGTTTTAAAGTTATTTATATTTTTTTTTCATGTTGTTTCTCTCCTTGGCCTGCATCCAGAAATGTTCTGTGACGTTTAATTGAAAACCTCACAGAATAAACTGGATTCTTTAAAACACGGGTAACACAAGTAACATTGCTTGACAATCGTGATCATCACATCAACAATGAACTTCAGTCAACAAATACAATTCTGTATTCAAATGCGCCTTTTTATTTTTTAAAAGTTAATTAGTACGACTAATATTAAATCTTGACTAATTATTAATTAAGATGTTGCGAAACTGGTGTTCGTTTTGAGGAGTTTGTTAATGCAGATGGCAATGTAATCGCGTGTGTTCGAATGAAATCAGTTATTTCAGAGGTGCAAGAAATGACATCAGAAGAAAATGAAGAGAACAATATCATTCCACCACCCGCCAGGAAGTGTTACACATCTTGGGCACTTTAGAACGTTTTGCTGTAATATCCGAATTGACGCTAATTTTAAGAAAGTGTAGAGTTGTCAGTGACGTTACCAGGTACTTTCGTTCTCATCGCAATATACAGGAATTTTCCAGCAGAAAATTATTAGTGAGTACGATTTCTCTTACGGCACAGTAATTATTGTAATACTGTAATGTTTTCTATGACGAGACAGACATAATGTACTGTTGTAGTTACGTTTGTACCTATATACTGTAAATGATTAATATTTTTAAAAAAACTATTACCAAAAATAAAATTTGAGTCTCCAGTTAACGTTCAATTTTAACGCAAATTCTTAATTTTTCGGTCCCCTAGGATTCGTGTTAAAGATTATTTCATACACTTAACGTTAGTATTACATATTTGTGTATTGGCGTATACTATTTAAACAATTACATTTGGGAATGACCTTGTATTAGGATTTTTTGGGAGCAGGAAAGAGGGAAGATTAGCAACGCCTTCGCCGGGAATCGTACCGCGGACTTCTGGAATACGCGCCCAGCGTGTAGACTACTACACCACGAAGGCATGCCAAGAAGATGGGAGAAATACCTTATATATTCGCCCTTTTCAAGGGCGACTGGGGTTTTTAGGGGTCCCAATCGTCAAATCCTGGGTGAGGAGAATCATCATACAACACCCTTTTAGTTCGGGCGCCATTGTAGAGACATTAGGTTATTTTTTTAAATCAAGAGAGATTGAAACATTAGCAACGCCTTCGCAGGGAATCGAACCGTGGACCTCTGGAATACGCGCCCAACGTGCAGACCACCACACCACGAAAAAATGCCAAGAAGGCGAGAGAGATACCTTATAATCTACTAATTTTAACGAGCTAAAGTAGATGCACACTAATAATATGCTGCCAGTTCCTTCAAATCATTATTTTGAATAAACATCATGATACAGCAAATAAACTGATGGATGGTTTGTAATACAATGCGTTCTTCAACACTCACGAAAGAATTTTCAAATTTGAGGGTAATTTATAATTAAATAACTAAATTAATAATTTTGCAAAAATTATTTCCCGTATGCTGTAAACGGTTTTTTGAGGCACAATATGTTTTCGTTAGTGACTAATTTCATTGTTAATACGGTGACTGAAACACAGCTTCCTCTTACCTTTCCTTCTCGGTTTTGGGAATCTGTTATCTGCTCTTGCAATTATGCCCCCAAGGTAAATAAAATTCTCATTTTCCACCAATGATTTCATCCCCCCCAGCCACTATGACTCTAAAGTCTTCATTATCATCCGATTAATTTTAGACTATTCCCCCCTCAAAAATACTAAATTTTGTAAGTAAGACATTGAGGTAACATCAATTAAAGGGTACTAATTAATAGTATCTATAACCCACCTAAACTTTTCGTATGAACTTGTTTTCATGCTGTGCTTGTTTGAATATAAAGAAATGATGCAATAATTGCAGGGATTATTACAGGGATATTATTATTAAACTTACAAGGGTATTACTAGTATTATCATTAAAAGTTTTATTACGAGCTTGGGAATTTGCACTAAATTATCATAACTACATATGAAGCATTAATATTATTATTCCCGTATGAGAAATGTCATCAAGGATTCGAGATGTATACAAAGCCGGCCTAAAGATATGTCGGGAGCGTATCTCGTTCACAAACTGGAATCTGTTTCGCCTGTGTTTCATAAATTCATTTTCATCATTTTAGTTTGCTAGCATTTTACAGAAAATTCAATATTGTAATTCTGAAGCTGTATTTTTAACAATAATTATTCTTTAAATTAGAGATCATCATCAACAAGAACGTAGATTAGTATCGCTAAATATGCACCATGCACCAATTAAAATTTTCTACGAAGCTTAACTGTTCTGAAGATCGATTGAGTTTGCGAGATTAAATGAATATTTTTCTCATCTTATATTACACGATTCAGAGCTATTTGTTTAAACTGGCTTCAGAAAGCAACAGTACATCATTAATTTAAGTGTTCATCATGTTATAATATTTTTAATTGTGCGATGTTAGTAAACATTATCAAGTTAAGTTTTATTTGGTTCGATTCCGATTATTTTTAGAAAAAGCATAGCGTTTTATGTTATTCTGGATAAAGCTGTTTAGGAAAATAAATTTTAATTAATGTTAGTTACAACTACCGTTTTCACTCTAATTTAAAATTGCAATTACTTATATAAAAAATTTTCGAAATCTTCTACCTTTTACAGTCACATGCAGAGTAATTGTTAACGTTGTTAAAATGATTTTGTAACGAGGTTTGGATACTGCTTAATGTTATTGGTTTAGTTTCAGTGAATAAGTGTAAACTTTCTTTAATCTGCAAGTATAGCATTAGCCGCCCTAAATGCAGAAGTAACATATGATAGGGTAGGGCTCCATATAAGTATTTGGTCAAAAATAACACCAAGGTTTTTAACTTACTTGGCCCACTGGATAACTGCTATACATGCTGATGTATTGGTCAAGATCTCTTTGACTATTTCTCCAGATTTATTTGTTATTAGACAAATATAATTATTTTATATTTTTCCGAATAGAAACAGTCTGACGCGGTGGAAATGCAGATTTTTCATTATTTAATTTCTTTAAAAATAGAAAACAAGGAGATAATATTTTATGGGAATAATTTAAACGTAATACAACAGTTTATAGTGAACAGTGGACGATACAAAATTTATTTTCGAGACTAATAGCCCATTCGGACTAAAACTAAATTTGGGCTAACAATAGAAAAATGTATTCCAACACTTAACACTGCATTGGGAATTCTAAACATATGCTGCTATGCTGCTGTTAATTTTTTTTTTTTTTTAATAATTTTGCTGTTTCATTGTATTTGGCGTAAGTGCCAAGAAAATGATGTTCGATAACAAAGCTAAAAAAGCAAAAAAAAAAAAAAAAAAAATGTTTTATCAGGAGTGGGTGCAACAGCAGATCGGTAGACTGCAAACCCAGCGAGTGCGTAAAAAAATTAACAAATATCTTTGGCAGCTTGTTAAAATTTGAAACCTTTCAGAATTTTGTTTGTTTGTTTGCTTTTTATTCTCAAAACCGTCAATTACATCTTAAAGGTCTACTTAATTGCTCCAATTGTGGTAATTTAGATAGTATACAAAGATTTTTTTAATTAATTTAATTAATTAATTTCATAAGCATTTATAGTTCTTAAATACTTACTTCTTAACTGAATTTTAAATCTTAAAATAAACATTTAAAATTCTAAATTAATACTTTTTATATGCTTTTTATTTCAAAATGTTCTCACAACCAGCAGCACTTATAGCTTAATGATATTACTATGTTTGGAACGTTGATGTAGATCATTGATGTCCAACCCGCGGGCAGCATGAAGCCTAAAGTAAGTGTCAATGCGCAAGAAGCGAGCGAAATTTCATTGACCTCCGAGGGTTCTATACCTACCTCATTGAGAACTCCTGGTTTAATGCCTTATAGTTTCATAATAATTTTAGTAACATTATAAGGTATTTCTCCCACTTCCCTAGCGTGCCTTCGTGGTGTAGTGGTTCTGCACACTGAGCCGGTATTTCAAAGGTCCGTGGTTCGGCGAAGGCGGTTGCATATTTTTCATCTTTTCTGCTTCCAATTAACCTAATGACTCTACAACATAAGTATAATACGATAACATAAGTATAATGTATAAGCAAGTTCTATTGCAATGCAGTTGTGCTGTTGTATGTTTAACCATAAAGTAGTTTGTTTCTTTCTGTAATGAGTATTTAAAAAACAAAACCGTATTTGACTTTCTCCCTTTCAGTGCACAATGTAACTTTCAAGACTTAATTGTTAAACATCTTATCATTATTTTTATAAAATATCAAAAATAATTCCTTAGTACTTTAATCAATTCAGTAAGAGCTAGAACCTTCCACCAGTCGGAATTTACGAATTGTTCATCGAAATTCTAAGAAAAGTAAAATTTTATTTTGTTTATTATGTTACCAAATACCCTCAAAGTTATTTCTCTTATTTTTAATGAAGATTACTGAATACTGTTTTAGTTTGAAGATGCAAATATTATTAATTTAACTAAGTGAACAATTAAATTACAAATAATATTTGTCATTATATGTTCTTACTAATTCCTTTATTAATTTTCTTTTCCTTCTCAGCTAAACCTTTGCGTGATATAGGCAAATCAGATACCCTACAAGCAGAAACAAATAGTTTAGATATAAATAGTTCTCCTTCCTACTGGGCAGTCAAAAGGTAAGTTTCAAAAGCAGTGGCAATTCAAATCTATTGACATTTACTGTAGACATGTAACTTGTGTTTAAATTCATGTAACTTATGTTTAAATTCACTACACCACACCACTTGTGTTTAAGACGTGTAACTTGTATTTACGTTCATCGAAAATTCCCCAGTTAGAAATCTGAGTCTACTTTAAGAATCTCGCGAATTATATAATTTTATTTTGTTTAGCGTAAAAATACGAATTTATACAATTCATTATAAATAAAATTAAGTTAAAATCCTTAACATTTATCTCTATTGTCTTTATAAACAATTAACGTTATGAATTATTTTTTGTATTTCTTGTAATCTCGTAAAAGATTTTATGCAAAATTAATGGGGCTTTTTTGAGTTTTTTCACTTTAACCCGTTAATCTACATGAATTTTAAAGTTTTGCCTTTTTTTTAAGATTTTAAAATATGATGAATGTATGAATTTATTACAGCAAATTATGCAAGAATAAATACGTAGCAGTTCTAATTGTATGCATATATATATAAATAAAATTTTCCATATTTTATTTTTCATTTTCATTTTCATGTTGTTGTTTATTGTATTTTATGTTTAATTGCTCAAAAGATAATGCGGAATGAAACGTGATTCAATTCTCTATGGTTATTCATTTTTTAATGTTTCAAATTATTACCCCTTCAGAAATGAGTCTAGAGCATGAAAATATGAATATGTATTAAATAATTTTAAAGTCATTGGTAAATTTACTTTAAATAAGTTTTCAAAAATGCTATGGGATCGTCTTAAATTCTGCTTCATGTTTTATTATTATTATTATTATTATTATTATTTGTTTTCTTTTAATACAATTTTAGAATTTCCTTTGAGTGGTTTAATCTACTTCTATTAAATTCTTAATTTAAATATTTGAATATTTGATGTATGCATGTATTTATATATATGTAAAGCTTAAAATAATAATGTCAGTAAAAGAAGAGTTCAGTGTTATTTGCTTTACCATTTACAGCTTAGTTTACTTTTTTTTAATCTTTGAATTCACAGCCTAAAAGAAATTGAATTTAACTAAGCGCCAGACTTCATCTATTCTCAATGGATTAAAGAAACAAATTAAAATTAGAAGAAACAAATTAAAAGATTTCTGCGTATCACAGAGAAACGATCCTTGACACAATAAACCTCTTTATGGGAGCAAATTGATTATTAATTTCCTGCTTTTATAAATTATGTTTGGAACGCAAACTGTAGGTGATATCTATTATGTTAAAATGATTTTGTAATCTATCACTAAAATTAAGAAGAAAAATATACCGTATAAAAGCAATGGCAACTACGTTGTTTCGCAAATAGACAAATTAAGCAATAACTAAGAACACTCAAGCAACGAATTAAAAAGATAGATTTCTTTACATAAGTAAGTAAGCTAGTTATTAATAAGTATTTTGTCCCCAAAAGCTACCATGCAAAAATTCAATAAAGTTACTGACAAAATCATAAATAATAACCACTTAACCATCGCATTTAATGGTGCTTTTGAAGGTGAATATTTTATATTACTAAGTGGATATATGTTAGAAATCTGGAAATTCTTTCCCCAAATGAACATTCGTGCCATAAATAACACGCGAATATCGGAGCATAAAATAGTAAATACTGTTGCAGCAGACATTAACTGTTAAAGTTGTTTCAGTTATTTATCCTTATTCTCTTCACCACATTATTTTTTCAGAACTGTCAGTAATTACAGGGCATGTTCTGAAAAGTTACTGAAACTCAAACTGAAAGTGTCCTGAACTCGAAGTATTGTTCGCAAAGGTCTTACATAAGAAATTCCATTATTATACTTCCTCGTGTACTTTTCTCCCTAGCTTTTTAGTGGCAAGTTTTTAAATTTTTTTTTAATATTCGCGTAATTTTCATCTTCTTGATTTCATTCAGAAAACGAGCTCCCTTAAATTTTCACATACATTCCTCCAAGTTGCGATTATTTTCTTGTTACTAACAAAGAGAAACCCTAGGAGACTGTCTGCAAGCTTCTCGCCGAACATTTCCCATCTGACTGTTGAACTTTATGCCAGCCTAATACAAGATCCGAAACATCACAACGAAGCAAACACGAACTAACATTCAATCTAACATTTCTCTGAGTCAGCTTCACATTCCCCTCCTCTATTTTTTATGGATGATTTGAGGCCTAGGGAGTAGTAGAGACTACAATAAGAACGAGCGAGACCAAAGTTACAGGGAAGTAGAAATGAAGATATCTTATTAGATTTTAATAATATGTCAATTGCTAAGCATTCTTATTGAAATGTAGGATTCTTTTAAAAAATACTGATTTTGTAGCAGTCATCTATAGTTTATCCACGACTGCTTTTCGTTTGCTATGTGCTTACTGTAACCGTGTCCTTCGGACATTAAAGTATTTGCATTACTTTTCCCTCTCGACTTTCGGACGACAAAATTAGCAAAAAACAAAAGGTGGGAATAGAGGAAATTCGGTAATCATATCATTCTTTACAAAATAGCATCGGAATATGGCAGATAATGTATTTTAATGCTCTCAAAGTAATTGTTTCCTCTTTTCTCTCTACGGAATGAAAAATGCGCAGAAACATTTGTCGATAAAATTACTTGTATTTTCATGATACTCTTAATAGAAGCCTTTCATATGAATGTTTTGCTACAAAAAGAGATTTTTTGTAAATTACAAGCATGATATTTCTATGACAAAATATTTAAGTTGTTTAAAATTAAGTTAACTGCGGGGATGTTTTAATTAGACGAATAAAGAAAGCATATAATATCCTAATTATGCTTATCGAATAGTTTCTAACATTTTTATCGTCTGTCATTACTAGAAAAACATTCCTATTTTTATATCTGTAAAGCGGTGATTTTCAATACTTTTTTTTTTGTGTGTGTGTGTGTGCTCCCCTTTCACCATTGCTGGAAGATCATTCCCCCATTTTTTTTAAACTTGAAAATTACATAAATTTAGATTATTTTGAAAGTGTTTTATAAATTAAACAGAAAAAAGTATAGAAAATGTTAGCTAATACCAAAACTTGAATAAAAGTAGCTTTTTCCCCTAGTATTCACAAATTAAAATTAAATACTTAACAGCTAAATAAAAGAAATAATAAAGACTGAACGCATCCTCCCCCTCCCTTAAAGCTCTGACATTCCTAAAACTAAGAAGCACCTGCTGTAAAATTTTTTTAAAAGCTTTTTTTAGTATCTAAGAATTTTGTTTTGCAACGAAACTTAATATACATACAAAAGCTGACAATCTGTATACTCATCTGTGCAATTATATTAGAATGCATGAAAATGGTCTTGTTATTCTTTTATAAATTACATTTTGAAATGCTAATTTAAGTTAAAATTGTTTAAATGAAATTCTTATTTTCATATGTTTCCTGAAACGGAATATTCTTTTTTACTTCTCCAAAGTTATTTTGAAAATATCAGTATTTTTTAATCAACAAATAGTTAGCCTACCATTAATTTCAAAGGAAGCGTTTTCGCAAGCTGTTGTTATTTTGTAATTAAATTAATTAATGAAACTAGCAGGGATGAATTATTTATCCTTTTTATCAAAATTTACCTTAATAAATAATTAAATTATTTGTATTACTACTATATTTAATTCAATATCATTTTATTAAATTAGTATTATATTTGTTTTTATTTGCTTTAGGAAAATGTTAAGTTGTGATAACAAGCGGCTCAGAAGAATATGTCGGAAAATGGTGAAATCTAAAGCCTTCTACTGGATTGTTATTGTACTCGTTTTTTTAAATACTTTAGCCTTAGCATCCGAGCATAACAGTCAACCTCCTTGGCTAGATTATTTTCAAGGTATGTTACTCTGATTCAGTACTTTTATTATGAATAAAATGAAGTTAGCCTACCGTTGTGTTATAAATTTATTCAATGCTGCATTTACTCGCATATTTCTCTCCTTTTCTTATTAATTTTACCGCCTGAAAAGGGGAAATACGCTATTTCAAAAGAAATGTCTTAAATGCTTAGGCAGAGCACAGTAAAAGCGCACTGGTGTTGTAATATTATGTAATTCAAAGGACTTATCAATTAATATTCATTTTATTCAGTAACATAATAAGTAATATTTCAATAATATTCATTTTACTTATACATAATAGTTTCGTACTTGTATATGCATTTTACATTGTTACCATAAATTATAAGTTTCTAAATCATATGCTGAAAAACACTAGGGCAGAAATATGCGAGTAAATACGGTATTCGAACATATATTGGAAATAAATTCTAGTGAAACTTCTCACAGCGACCATCTCTCTTAAATGGTCACCTTTAAAGGCGACCAATATTTCTAAAAAATTTGTAATAACAATATGTTGGACATCATCGACAATAATGTTCTCTAAGGCAACCTACTCCAAGATCAAAATCATCTGTTATCGTGGGTAGTCGTCTTAAAGAAATTATACTGTACAAGAAATTTTAAAAAGAAAAGTAAATAGCATCGAAAGCAGTTTAACAATATTTTTCAATGTGTAATACTATAATTACTAATTTCCATTTGATGTACGATAAATAAAAAGTATTTATATCTGTTGTATAACAAAGGCAAGAAATACTCTAGGAATCAACGCTTTAAATAGCTTATCTGTATTAATTATAAGCTTTCCATTGCATCCAGCATTTAATTAACTCTTTTGCAAAAAGATCGAAGCACCAAGAAGGACTTTTGCGATCGTAACGAAATTTGGTATGCAAAAACATCTTGATCGAACATGCAAATGATCAAAGTTTCAAGGCAAATGAACAGAATTTGCGATCATAGCGAGCAATTCTAGTCCGAAATTCTCAAAGTATAAAACCAGTAACAAAGGCGGGATTTTTTTTTTTTTTTTTTTTTATTGCTGCCATTATAATTCCGTAATCAAGTAAAGATGCTTTTACGACGATATCGAAGACCTTACAGACAATTAAACGACTTCGAACGTGGGTCGCATTGTAAGGTTGCGTAAAGCTGCGTGGTCATATCGAGCAATAGGCCGCCATCTGCAGCGTACAGACACTGCTGTGCAAAGATGTTGGCAGCAATGGTTGCTACAAGGAAATTTCCGACGAAATGAAGGCTTTGGAAGTCCAAGGAGCACAAATGCGAGGCAAAATAGGATGATTGTTCGCCAGGCACGAAACGCCCCAACGGTATCATTGCCGACTATTCAACGCACTAATGTCTATACATCCCGTGGTACCGTCCACCATCTCAAGGCGCTTGTCTGAGGCGGGGTTATGCTCACAGAGACGTTTAAGACGTTTGCCTTTGAACCCACATCATCGGCAGAATCGTCTGGAGTGGTTCGCAGCCGATCATCATGGCTGCCATCAGACTGTCATCGTATAGTGTTCAGTGATGAATCCGGCTTCACTCTTGAAGCAGATGACCACCGTGTTCGTGTCTAGAGAGGAAGGGGCCAGCGGTCCCAATCAGCCTTTGTTTTACAAAGTCATACAGCCATAACCCCTGGTGTGATGATGTGGGGCGCTATCTCTTATGACAGCAGGTCATCTTTACTCATCCTCCGTACATCTTTGCAGCTCAACGATATGTTGATAGCATCTTGCGGCCGATTGCATTACTCTTCATGGCTCGTCATCCTGGAAAATGTTTCCAACAAGATAATGCCAGGCCACATATATGTCGCATATTTCTGGACTGTCTCCTTGGTTGATACTCTTCCTTGGCCAGCAAGGTCACCAGACCTTTCACCAATCGAACATGTCTGGGACATGGTAGACCGCCGGATTCGGGCACCACAAAACATCGCAGATCTGGAGCGACAACTGATGAATGCCTGGCAGAATGTGTCGCAGGATGACATTAGGACCTCTACCACTCCTTGCTACGAATTCAAGCAAGCATTGCGCCAGCGGCCGTTCGACCAACTACTAATTTCAACACTCAGTGGGTGATTTTGAGCGGTGAATAGGTACTATGCCTTGATTTTTTAATCATTTCATTATCTGTGTATGAGCTATACACATATTCAATTTCATCAAAAACAACCACTTCCTTTATGGTGCTTCGATTTTTTTGCAAAAGAGTGTATTTTCCAAAGCGTTAGACTTAATATTATTTTAAATATTCTTCAGATAGTGTCTTTCACGAAAACCGTTTCACTTAATAACAGTTTGATCCATATTATATTTTCGAAATTAATGTTAGCGTATCTTTCAAAATATTTCTTCTATTGAAGTTTCAGAAGCATAATTATCAGTGTTAAGTGGTCTTTGTTGATATAACATATTAATAGTAGTTTTCAATATATGACAGGATCAGTCTTCTTTTGAAATTTTTAAACCAGAAAAGGCAGTGTCATTGAAAACACTCTACACAGAGCAATCTGTATTTTTAGAATACGATACTAATATTCCGTCTTTCCATCAATAATGCGTTTTTTTTAATTAATGTTAGCAAAACTATTTTTTAATATAAAATATACTCTCTTCTGTCCTCTGCTAGTTCCTCAAATAGTTATGGGATTTTCTTCTTTGGGATGTTTATAAGACGTCTTCGTCGAGAAGCTTCTCTTTTGTAGGTTTCAACTCGAAATTTCTGGAATCACCATTTACATGGCTCACTGTTGTTGTTCTCTCCTTATATGCTGCATCAATATTCCTATTAAAAGTTTTATTTAATTGAACTCATAAAGCAAAATAATGCCAAATATGCTCTTTTGTCACTTCCTTCTAGCTTTGAAAAAAAAATAACAGTTAAAATCAAATTGCATTATTCAAAACTTGCACTAAGAATAAGAATAAGGTAAAATTATTGACTGCTTTTGTAGCAAGTTGATGCAAATTGTCCTGTCCTCTTTCGACTTTTAGTTCAACTGAAAAAATCGCATTATTTATTATATGACCCAATAATATCGATTCATTTATTCGTTAGCTCGTTAATATTGCTTAAGGCACAACCATTACAACAGTTTTATTTTCATTATTAAAGTGTGCCATTAACTGTAATATAAATAATTCTTCAGTAATAGCAAATTTTCTTACATCATATATCATAATTTTCATTAAAATTATCTCTCACTCTCCAGAAAAGTAATTTTCCCAAGTTTATCTTTTATTCACTTTGTAAACATTCATTTTCTTTAAACACGTAATGAAATCATTTTATCGCACAAATCTCAATATACCAGCATTCATAAAAGAAAAACTTCATATTTACGCAATGAATTTTAGAAAAAATTTATACTCAAAATTAATTTTGTTTCACGCACAGTTTTCTTTCAAACATATACCCATTTTATTAAACAGCATTAGAAATGAATATAAAACAATCACTTCAAGTTAAGCATAAAATAAAGTGAACACTATTTGCTTTACAAAGGAATTAGTTCGACATATATGAGTTCATTCAAATCACCCTAGTTTACATATTTAGTAAAGAATTGACGAGTTTTATTAACAGAGGGATTTCTTCCTTTTCCCTTTACACTCATTACAGAATTATACAACAGAATTTCTACGAGTTTTATTAACAGAGGGATTTCTTCCTTTTCCCTTTACACTCATTACAGAATTATACAACAGAATTTCTACGATTTAATTTTGAGATGACTTAAAAATGTGAAAACTCTGTGTTTTAAACTTTGCAAAAATGCTAATGTGCAAATTTGAAGTACGAACACAGAAATCCATATATTCCAAATTCTCAAATACACTTTAATGGAACATACTTTATTCACTAATTTAAAGACCCGTATCAAATTCAAATTTAAATATTAAAAGAATTAAGCAAAATTATCAAAACCATTTGATTTAATGAAGGATGAAAATAAATTTTAAAATCTTATCCTACTGATGATATTGGCATTGTTTGCGTTTAAAAATTTCAAAGCCTTTGCTTCTTTCCGCAGTGCAAATAATTGATCAAAATGAGTTACAGACTTTACATTATTGATGTTCAGACACTGTTTTAATAAGTAGTAAATAGCGAAGAATTTTTGCTTTATCGAAATATTAATATCCTATCTGGTAAAAACTTTCACATTGGCATTTAGAAATTCCCACACTAATATTAATATGAATTTTAAATTAAAGGTACATTTGTCTACGAATTTTATACTAGGTAAAATTTACACTAAATACTAATACACTAAATACTAATACTCTATGCGGTAAGAGAATTCTTTGCGGCAAGAGATTTTAAAGATTCTTTAATATCAAAATTGTACAGCCTAATAAGATTTTAAATATATAAAGATTAGTGTTCTCCAGTTATAAGACACCTAAACTTAGACCAATGTGTCTGAGATAATCAGGAAAAGGCCTAGCAGCAATAGCTTGGGTCTAGAGATTTTAAAGATTCTTTAATATCAAAATTGTACAGCCTAATAAGATGTTAAATATATATAAAATTAGTGTTCTCCAGTTATACGACACCTAAACTTAGACCAATGTGTCTGAGATAATCAGAAAAATGCCCATGAGCCGTTGTAAACTGTGACAGATAATTGCTCATTGAATGCGGTTCCACTGGCACTTTGGGAAAAAAAACTTAGAAACTCGACGTCGCGTCGTGGCTTGGTCCCGTTGCTCTTGCTATTTAGAGACTAATTATTGGAGAATCTGTCTCTTCAAAAATACGATTATCTTTAATATTAGCAGTGTCCGCTAATTCACTGCCTGTAATATCCGTGTAAGCAGGAATACAACTAAGAATCTAACAAAGTCTTTGTAAAACTGGGATTGTTAACAAGAGGCATCGAAGCTCTGTACTATTATATTATTGGTACATTATGCATACTCAAGCTATTGCTGCTAGGTCAGTACCAAGAATATAATAGTATTAA